TGGGCGTGCGCGCGCGCACGGGGCGGCCCGGGCGGAGGCGCCCTAGGGAGCGCGCGGCCGGGTTCTTGGGGCCTTGAGTGCGCATGCGCGCTGGGGAGGGAGAAAAGGTGGGAGGTGGCGTGCTGTGCGCAGGCGCAGTGAGGTGACCGGGTTGTGCGGCGCTAGTCTAAAACCTGGGGGTCCCTGTTGGCGCTCCAGCGGGCTGGCAGAGGGTGTGCGTGCTAGGAGGGCGTGATAGGGTCAGCTGATAACGTGGAGCGGCTTCCTTCCTGGACTTAGGAGTCTGAAAGGGACACAAATACCAAGCATCGCTCCACTATTTTTGCAGTAAGGCAGGGTTTTCAGTACAGAGAAGGGGTGAGGTGGGAAGGCTTCAGGTGATGGTTTGGTCTAGTCTTTTGGGGGAGGGAATTGTGTTTTTCCGAACCTCCCTTGGCTTACTCCGTTCTCGGTGTGACCCGCTTTCCCCGTACTGCCGTAGGGAGCTTTACTTTGCCTCCGGGCGTGTATCACTTGGAAAGTAGAATAACTTGTGGTAAATGTAGGGAGTTTCTGACTTTGTATCGGGGAAGGAGGATTTGGCTACTCTCATAGCTTATTCTTTGTTGAATTTTTGATAAAATCTTTCAGACACTAAGTGTCTAGCTGGCCAGGAAAATTGAATGCCCATCTTGGCGAAACTTATAAAGGAAAGGGTGATCTCGTTGAAGAACCCACCCCCACCCCACCCCGCTTACTGATGTGTACAGATAGCTTTTTTTGTGTTCTGGTACCTTTTAGAAAGGTGACTGGTGAGTGTGGTGGAAGTGGGCGGAGTCAGCAGTTCCCCAATACAATTCTGCTTTCCAGACCTGTTTCTGATTCTTCAATCTATTCTTGTCTCCCCTGGGGCTTTCAAGGCATTCATGGATGATGCAGTATATATCTTCCTATCTCTCTGCTTCACTCTTTGAACTCTTATGCATTATGATTTCTTACGTTGTTTACATACTTTACAGAGTTTCTCTAGACAAATATTATAAATGTGACTTTCCCGATCCAGGACCAGGTATCCTTGTAGTGGCCATGTGTTTTAATCTCTGATCTCTGAGGTTTGTCTTTCATTCGTTGCTGTTTAGATTTTAGGTCAAGTTCTCACTTTCGTGGCCTGCTGACATTCCATGTGATATCTTAACTATTGGTAGTTACTCTGTTGGTTTGTATTTCCGTCTGATTGACTTTGTCTGCCTTTAGACTTCCCAAGTAAGAAGCGGAAGAGGAGCCGTTGGAACCAAGACACAATGGAACAAAAGACAGTGATTCCAGGAATGCCTACAGTTATTCCCCCTGGACTTACTCGGGAGCAAGAAAGAGCTTATATAGGTAAATACACGTTCTGTATCCTAATGCATTTTCAGATTGTTACTGTTTATTCTGAGTGATGGAGCGATATTTCTTTTGGTTGAAAGTTTGAAGTGGGTTTTTTGTTTTGTTTTTGAGACAAGATATGGTCAGGTGTACTTTCACAACTTTGACATATTCGTCAGTTTTTGCTCAGTGAGTCCTGCATTTGCAGCTCCTTGTTTTGATCTGTTCATAACAGCAGTGTTCTCCATGAATGCCAGGAAGGTAGAGGGGCCCACTTAGGAGTGAGAATAGTCCCCAGTCCAGCAGCCCACCCTTTTCAGCTGCTGTTCATTGCCAGTTGATGAGGTGAGTGTCATCTGCCTCTCTGGACAGGCCCCAGTGGAGAACACTGCAGGTATTGTAAACCAAGTACCTTTTTCGCAGCATGACCTTTCACCATAATTTTCTATTTCTCTCTTCCCCTGAAATGTGGTCTTTTATTTTTGTAGGTACTATCTGAAAGGAAAGGAAAAAAAAAAAAAAAAACTCAGTTTGAACAAAAAGTGGTTGTGAAAGTGTGTTTATAGTTCACCCCTTATCATTTTGTTGAATTTAACCTTACCTTCAGCATCTTTTTCTGGTTTGGTCTTTGGAGAGCTGTTTTAAAATGAAGGCTCTTGTAACTACTAAAGACTTCTGCTGGGAAAGGGGTACTGCTTGGATATGGAATGAGGTGGTAGGATAAAAGATCTTATCTGTTGGGAAATTTCAAAAATTAAGAATGACTGTTCACGGTGGAATTGAAATTAACCTCAAAATACTTTTTTTTGTTGTTTTTTTAAAAAAAGGTATTTAATGTAAATTTTACCTTTTATACCTATGCAGCTGTCTCAGAAAAGTTCACTTGATAAACATTTCCTGCTAACCAAATAAACATCCCCTTTGGAGGAAAATAGAGCAAAGGCCTCCTAGGCTCGTGAGGTTGTAGCCTTCACAAACAAAACACTTCAAGGCTGGCATGTTCTTATTCTTGAGGGTCTTAATCTCCTATTTTTAGACTGCTGAGAACTTTGAGGCATTGGAGTTGGCTATCTTCTTTTCACAGTACTGCTAACGTTTTTTCTTTCCCCACTGTTCTGTCTATTCCCACCCCTGCCCTTATTATGGCTCATATTACAACCTTGTGAAATGCCCCTAGTGGAGTGATATCCCAAGGACACAAGCAGACTTAGAAAATGGGGAGAACAAACTTATTCTGTATAACTCTGTTTCTCCCCCTATGGAGGGCTGGTTAATGCAGTGGGCCCTAAGGGCTATTTGTAGTCGCTTTTTATTTTAAAAGATGACTGGTAAGGGTAACCCTTGACTTGGTGTTGTCAGCACTACGCTCTCCAAAGTCAGCTAACCAGCCATTCCTATATAGGGATCCCAACCCATGGCCTGGGTGTTATCAGCACCACACTTTCCCAAGTGAGCCACAGGCTGGCCCTCTATTTATAGTTATAATCAAAGTAGTTACAGTGTCAAAACAGAGGCTCGTATAGGTCTCCACTCCACTGAAGGGAGTGACCTTTTTATTTTTTTATTGTTTTAAAGATGACCCGTAAGGGAATCTTTACCCTTGACTTGGTGTTATGAGCACCACACTCTCCCAAGTGAGACACGGGCTGGCCCCTTGATTTAATTTTTAGTACCAGCTATTTACTCAGATCTGACCTCACACCCACATAGTCCTATGCCCCTGATGGTGGTGTTGAGCTTAATACTCCACTGCAGAGTTGTATCTTTTCTGGCATTAAGGAGCTTGGGGAGCCGTGTGTCTTGTAATCTTCTGTCTCCCATGGTACACACTGCCTTGTCTAGAGTGCCCGTGATATCTTCTTTTGATATTGATGGATTTTCATTTCTTCAGGGTTTTGATGTGGGGATGTGGAATAGCCCTGCCGGGTTATGTTTAAAACTCCTAAGGTATCTTGGGTTACACATGCATGAATCCAGTCGTGGAACCAACTCAGTTTTAACCCAACCCAATAAGACTTACCCTTAATAGCATTTTTGCTCAGAACTCTCAGGTGCTATAAAGGTAAGAAACAGGTGGTTATTCAGCACGTTGAAGAAAGCCGCTCTGGCTCTGCAGTTCCCATTATCTTGGAAAATCAGCTGTGTAACATTTTCCTGGAATCACTGGCAGTTTTTGTGAAACCCTCATCTCTCTCTTTCACGTACAGCCTCATTGGTACAGATCTGAAGGCCACATACATTTCTCCTTGACCCACACTTCCCATCTGCACACCTGCTCCCCACATTAATAGCAAGTCTGAAAACAGGTTCCTAGCATCTGTGGTTACTGGTATATTAAGAAATATGGTTTGTGATTTACTACTTGAATAAAAGTTGCAGGTATTGGGAGACTCACTAGTATGGATCTGGTTGTACAGAAAGAATATGTGCAAATATCTGTAAGGTGTTAAATTGGTTAAATATTTGTTTAAGGAATTTTAAGCCTGGTATTAATGAAAGTGATCTTTGCTAAACTGGTATTTTTCCTTGTCCCATGTTAATTGGGTCTCATTTTAGGCTATGTTTAATATTTAATGAAGAAAAAACTCTCAAGTCTTGCTCTCAAATAATTTGAGAATCGAGTATTGGTGATATCATGCACGGTTTTTGGTTCTCGGTGCCAATTGTAAGCAAGCCTTGGTGGGGAGGGAGAGGTGAAATACCTCTTAATAATTGCTTTGATGTTAGCCTTAGTGAACAGTCTTTACTGCTAACCCCTCTTCCAACAAACTGTTTGCTTCCTTAAGTAATAACCATTTTGAAGTGAAAAATACCTATAGATGTAAATGGACTCCTGCCAGTAGGTGGTTAGGGGTTTTTGCCTCAATGTTTTCACTGATCAGTCGTCCCTTTCAAAGTCTCCGAGTTCTTCATGCTTATTGTTGAGATTTGAGATGTTTTTTGGTAACATTGTCTTTTTTCCATCCTTTTTTTCTTTCCTAACCTGGTTTCTTCCAGTGCAACTGCAGATAGAAGACCTGACTCGTAAACTGCGCACAGGAGACCTGGGCATCCCCCCTAACCCTGAGGACAGGTTGGGAAACAGTTTTAACCAGCTGACAGTAACGCTTTTACCTTTTTCTCAATATGTTTTACTGGTGGCAACATATTGTGTCAGTTCAATAAAATCCTACTAAGACAACTGGTATTCTGACCATTTTGGGGACTAGGGTTTAATTAGCAATATATGTGGTCAGTCAACAGTTAGAAAATTGGAATGAAACTTAATTTTAGGAAAATAAAAAGTTACAGGAAAATGGACAACTGGTTTCCAATTGGTAAGCATGTAGATTTTAATCTGATTTTCCCATCTGTAAGGACAGTGAGGTGTGGCCCCTTAACCTGCCTTTTCAGTACCTGCTTTGGCTGAAAGCCCAGGGAGTAGAGTTTTTCTCACAGGTACACGATGCAGGGATTGAGAATATTTTTGAGCATCATTGAATTTGAGCAGGCCAGAAACTCTGGTCAGCTCATTGCTGAGTCTTCCTGCTAATGGTTTTGAGATGGTTTTAAAAATCAGATGAGATTTCTAACCAACTTCCTTCACTGCCAGTTAATTTTCAGCCTTGGCCATTGCCTGGGGGTGTTGGGAGGGGCCAGAATATTCTCACCTGTTTTGGGAAGGCAAGCAACCAACCCTAGATTTTTTTTTTTAAAGAGAGTGCGGATCTCTAACAGCTGTGGTCATGTCATTTCAGTTTACAATTTTTCTCATCTCTGAAAAGTAAAAAGTTGATGTGAGAGATGATCTTTTTAAACTAGAATTTTATTGGCTGATCTCTGAACAGCTTAAATCTGGTCATTTAATAGAAAGGCAAAAAGCCTGTCACTGAAGTTTTTCTTAGTGCATGCAGCATAGTTGAAAAGACTTTGCCTTAAAAAGTAGTTTTTGGCTTTTGTTGCCCAATTACTAGCTCATTAAATCAGGAAGATGATGTGATGGCTTTAGAAGTCATTCACTTATGCATTTTTCTATTGCCCTTTGTCAGGAAACAAATTAACTTCCTTATTTCTCCATATGGACTCTTTAATTTTACTTACTAAATTTGTTATATTTTTACCAGTAAATTTTGGTTGGAGAGTTGTGTTGTTTTATTTTTTTGATTTGAAGATTTTTTTAATAAAATTAACATTGTAGATTATAGACTACAACTGGTTAGTTCCTTTTTGGCCTTTTTCCCTTTATGTGTCTACAGGTTACCAGGCAATTCCTCCAAAGGTTGAATTTTTAACAAACCTTCTGTGTTTCCTGGAATGCTGGGATTAGAATTTAGTTGATCTGTCCAATGCCTGTTCGAGGTGAAGTCGGGCCAGTGTAACCTCTAGAGTATTGGCTTTTGCCTTTCACTTCTACAATTGGGGAAGAGGTTAACTGTTGTGAGGCCATTAAATGGCCAGTTTGGTACTGGTAAAACTTGTTTTGGTGATGAGCCAGGAATGATTAATTCTAGGCAGCTATGGGGTGGGAATTAGAAATGTAAAGAATGTTAGAAATAAAGCCAGAGTGGGGTTTTTCCTCCCTTGTATTCAGTTTTGAAAGAGGCCCTAATACCTGATTGGTCTTGCTTTTGAGCCCAGGTTGGAGGGAAATGCATGAGTTTATGTTAATAAGAATATTTCTTAAAAAGGTACATCTCAAAAATAAGCCACTTCATGATATTTTGATGTTGCTTAACTTGCACAGTTAAAAATGTTTTAAAATTTGTTGTAGACGTAATTGTATAAGATGATAGTCTTAAATGTATAAAATGATAGTCAAATGAGCTGGGGTACATTTGCTTTTGTTCACTATTACTGGATTGTGCTAACAGTTTATGCAAATGCTAGATACGGAGGTGTCATTTAGCCGTCATTAGTCATGAACAAACCTGACCTTTTATTCCATCGTGTGTGTAACGTGGTATGACATGGTTCCCTTTAGGCTGAAGACAGTGGGAGCAGCCGAGTTCAGTCCTTGCTCTCCAACTAGGCAAGGTTCTCTCAACTAAACCAAGGGTGTAGGAGTCTTGACTACTTTCAGGATGTTTTTTTTAATAACCTGATCCAGATGGTCTCTTCCCTTCTTGCAGCTGCTACTAAATTTTGATTCAGAATATCAAGTTATGGTCCTTTTTGTAATCTTAACTCAGAATTCTAGGAGTGTAACTTCTCTTTTTTTATTACCGCAAAATCCAGCTGTGGTAAACTGACCATTTTATCATTACTACTTTTTTACTTGTAGCAACAGCATTTTACTCCTTAAAAAATGAGAGAGAGAAAATCTGCTTTCTGGACTTGTAAACTCTGGCGGAGAATCATAGGTTTTCCCCTCGCAAATTTGCAGGTTCAGACCCTAGACAAGTATTTGACCAAATCTGCATTTGCAGCCTCTCTCAGAAGCTGCTTTAGCACTTTAACGTTTTTCTCTACCCAGACTCCCTAACCTCGAACAGCCAGAAAACAGGTTGTCTCCTGGGCCTTGGACACAGCCAGCCAGGCCATTGAAGGAAAAGCAAAGACGAAGCCTTGAACCATTTCTCTCCATTGTGGGGGCCAAATAGCTGCAGTAGTCTTGAGTCCCAGTCGCATTGGGTTAAAGAGCTCATACTTACTATGTGTTAGGGGTACAGACGCTCTTCCTGATAGGGCATGAGCTCTCCAAGAGTTATAGCATTTTGCTTAAATAAACTTGGGTTTTCTGTGGTTCATAAAGTTGTGATAATGTATTTTTTTTCAAATGAAAGAAAATCCATATTTCTCAAGAAGACTCCAGAGGATGATAACTGTCCTTGCCACTTATGTGTAGTCCAAAGATTCCCCCCAAAGGACAGACTTTTTTCTCCCGCTCATCACTTTTAGAAGTAAAACCATTTTTTTCCTTTCTCACATGCACCCCAGTTCCCCTAATGCTAAGCCAGCTTTCATCTCCCCATTCCACACGATCTTGAGTAACACACGTTATGGTCGGTTCCTCCGAAGAGTGTTGTGCTAGGGTCTGAGAGGCAGAGGGGCTGGGAAAGACTTGTTATAATCCGTGTGGGTATGAGAGAAGTGAGAGCAGAGCAGTGACGGGGGTCTGTTTCCCACAGGTCCCCTTCCCCTGAGCCCATCTACAATAGTGAGGGGAAGCGACTTAACACCCGAGAGTTCCGCACCCGCAAAAAGCTTGAAGAGGAGCGGCACAACCTGATCACGGAGATGGTTGCTCTCAACCCTGATTTTAAGCCACCTGCAGATTACAAGTAAGCAGAGGGGCCAGGTCGGCTGGGATGAGGACACATGCAGATCACGTGTGACCTGTAGGGACAGTTTTGGTACTGCTCACCTCTTGCCCCAAATCACCCGTAATTAGCACGTGGTATCAGTGGTTAGTTCTAGAAGAGCTATTGGTTTTCTGTGTCATCTCCCAGCAATGTGCAGAGTCAGTGTCTTTTCTTCCATAGACCTCCAGCAACACGAGTGAGTGATAAAGTAATGATTCCACAAGATGAATATCCAGAAATCAACTTTGTGGGGCTGCTAATTGGGCCCAGGTGAGTAATTACTATCCCTTGTGATAGAGAATTCCTTAGAGCCTCGGAGTTTCTTTTTGTGCCATTGGCTCATCTTGGTTGTTTTTGGTAGGACATTTACTTTCGCTGATTTACGCCTTTCTGTGAGAAAATCTCTTCCCCATTTTACTACAGAGAAGTCAGATCTTCAGGTTTGCTGTGGCTGACCTTAACTAAGAGATCACGGAGCTCTTGGTGGGAAAATCCAGCTCTCTGTGCTTACAGTTCCCCACTAGTGCCTAGTCAGCCCAGCATCTGTCCCTTCTGGAGTGTCAACTTGAGTGTCAGGTATAAAGTCCATCCTTTCTGCCTTTGGTAGAGGGAACACCCTGAAGAACATAGAGAAGGAGTGCAACGCCAAGATTATGATCCGGGGGAAAGGGTCTGTGAAAGAAGGGAAGGTCGGGCGCAAAGATGGCCAGATGTTGCCGGGGGAAGATGAGCCACTTCATGCCCTGGTCACTGCCAATACAATGGAGAATGTCAAAAAAGCAGTAGAACAGGTGAGTGTTGAGCTCAGAAAAGAAGCCTTTTGCCAGAAAGCTAGGCGGTGTCCCCAAGCACTTATGTAACTGTTCATGATGTCTTCCCTAGATCAGAAACATTCTGAAGCAGGGTATTGAGACCCCAGAGGACCAGAATGATTTACGAAAGATGCAGCTTCGGGAGTTGGCTCGCTTGAATGGGACCCTTCGGGAAGATGATAACAGGTATGTGAACACTTCAGAGGAGAATGTGTAGAGATCTGAAGAACATATGGAGGTAGAGAGATTGTCCACAGCCCTTGAGTTGACTTTTTCTCCCCTTCCCTTGACAGGATCTTACGACCTTGGCAGAGTTCAGAGACCCGCAGCATTACCAATACTACAGTGTGTACCAAGTGTGGAGGGGCTGGCCATATTGCTTCAGATTGCAAATTCCAGAGGTGAGAGGCTGGCTGTTCTGGTGGTTTCCTCGTAGCCCGCGGTGTACAGAACAGCTCTTTTTAGCATATTGATTGCTGGTTAATCTTATCGACCCAAGAGAAACATCCTTTCTGTGAATGTGGTTTGTAATGGTGTGATTTAAAGCTGAGGATGATTAGAAATAGCCTGTACAGAATACCCCTATCTTATTGTTTGTCTTGAAGCCTAGGAAAACTGGAAGCTTCCATTTTGGGTGTAAGTGATTTTACTGGGGCTTAATATTACAGTTTACTACCTTTGCTGCTTAAGGATTGGTTCAAGAAGACCAATCTGCAGATTTTTGGCCAGTTGCGAATTAGCATTCAGTATGAAAACTTTTCTATTCTGGGTGGCATATATATAAAGCTTTGTTGAAGAAGTTCTTTCTGGCAGTTACTGCAGTCTTGCATACATTTTTCTTCCCTCAAACTGGGAATGTAGCATTTGATAAAATTTGTGAGTTGGGAGAGCCTGTACCTTTGTGGCTGGTGAGGGTTTGGTGCTCATGGTCTCCTCTGCTCTCTTAGCCTGGGACCTCTGCTATAGAGAGCATGGAGGTACATCTCTGGCAGAGAGAGTGTGATAATACTAGATACATAAATGGGCACTGACCTGAAGGTCTGGTAAGACAGTTTTGAGCCATGACTGGTAAGGGGTTAGAAAGAAATGGAGAGGGCCAGCCTGTGGCTCATTTGGGGGAGAGGTGCTGATAACACCAAGGCCATGGGTTCGGGTCTCTATATAGGGATGGCCGGTTAGCTCACTTGGGAGAGCGTGGTGCTGACAACACCAAGTCAAGGGTTAAGATCCCCTTACCAGTCATCTTTAAAAAAAAAAAAAAAAAAAAAAGAGGAAGGAAGAAAATGGTGCTGTACTGATCAGTAGCTAAAAAAAAAAAAAGAAAGAAATGATGAACTGGTGATTGAATTCTTCAGAACTTTCTGTATATAGTTCTTTAGAGTAAAAGCTTTTTATTTTAATCAGTTTTTCCTCTTCTTTTTGTCTCCCTTCCCCTCAGGCCCGGTGACCCCCAGTCAGCTCAGGATAAAGCACGGATGGATAAAGAATATTTGTCCCTCATGGCTGAGCTGGGTGAAGCGCCTGTCCCCGCATCTGTGGGCTCCACCTCTGGGCCTGCCACCACACCCCTGGCCAGCGCGCCTCGGCCTGCTGCTCCTGCCAACAACCCACCTCCACCGGTGAGCCTCAGAGCTGGTTCTCTTGGTCTGGCTTCCCCATTCTCTTCTGCTGAGACTGGGAGCTATGGCCAAGTGCTTTGGTTTGAGCAGATTGATGGACTTGGCTGGCAACATTGTTCTTCCTGGATATCTGGCCACTTTGGGGAGACCCTGCCTTTGTGTTCTATTCCTGTGGCATAGCCGGAAGAACAGTGTTGCCACCAGGGGGAGCAGGCAGGGACATTGGCGGGAAATGCTCTCACATAGTCTCTCATGTCCACTACCCAGAGCCGCCCACCCTGGATGAATTCTGGCCCTTCAGAGAGTCGGCCCTACCATGGCATGCATGGAGGTGGTCCTGGTGGTCCTGGAGGTGGCCCCCACAGCTTCCCACATCCATTACCCAGCCTGACAGGTGGGCATGGTGGACATCCCATGCAGCACAACCCTAATGGACCCCCACCTCCTTGGATGCAGCCACCACCACCACCGATGAACCAGGGCCCCCACCCACCTGGGCACCATGGCCCTCCTCCCATGGGTAAGTAAGTGTCAGACCAGAAACCTTGGGGCTTTGGGGTCAACAAGGATTTATATCAAGTTGCCACAAACAGGTCTCAAAGAGGCTAGGTGGTGCACTGGGTCTGCCTGACTTGCCAAGGCTCAGGCTTCAGAAGGAGCAAGACTTCATTCTGATTCAGGGGGGACTTTTACGTGGAGTAGGCACAGACCCGTCTCTTACAGACAGGGTTCTCCTAGCTGCTCTCATAAGGGTAGTGACTCGAGCTATAGGACTGAGGAATTTGTTGGGGGGGCTGTCTGCCTTGGCCAGTTCAAATGTCCTGCTAAGTCCCTGCTCTTTACTTCCATCAAGATCAGTACCTGGGAAGTACGCCTGTGGGCTCTGGGGTTTATCGCCTGCATCAAGGAAAAGGTAAGGGATGTCTCTTTGTTTGGGGTCTTCACCTAGGCCTGGGAATGAGTGGGGCTGTGGCCCAAATCCCTCTCCTTCCCTTAGGCCTCACCTTTGCTTCCACTCTACCTGCAGGTATGATGCCACCGCCACCTATGGGCATGATGCCGCCGCCGCCGCCGCCTCCCAGTGGGCAGCCCCCGCCCCCTCCCTCTGGTCCTCTTCCCCCATGGCAGCAGCAGCAGCAGCAGCAGCAGCCTCCACCACCCCCTCCGCCCAGCAGCAGTATGGCTTCCAGTACCCCCTTGCCATGGCAGCAAAGTGAGTAGACTATTGTGGGCTCGTTGGGGGTGGGTGGGATGGTGGGGTTGGTGCTGAGAGGAAAATGGAGCCTCACAGCTCACAGGCAGGCAGGCACCTTGGGAATGAGACTCTTGCCTCTGCTGGAGGTGTAAACAGAAAGGGCCTCCTGGCCTGGGGGGCATCTTGGAGGGAAGAGCTGATGTTTGGTGTGGTTGTGTCTGGGGAGAGATTTGTGGGGGCCTGCAGGGGAGTTTGTTAATGTAGGTAGGGTGCCAGAAGTCCAGGCTGTCACAGGCTGAGTGAGCTGTCAGCTGGCCCCAGCCTCGTGCTAATGGCCAGAGTGGCGGGGGTGGGGGGTGCATGCTCTGGAGAGGGCTGTGATTGGGCCTGAGAGACTGAGAGGTGGGACCGGACAGTGGGGAGAGAGCAGCTGTGGCCTTGAGGTTGAATGTGCCGTTCGGTGGTGGCGGCGGCGGCAGCGGCGGCTGGGCGGAGGGATGTCAGAGCCGGTTCTTTTGTCTGGTACCTTCTCCTCAGCCCTTCCAGGGGCATTGGTGACAAAGGGCTTACCCTGTTAAGCCCAGAGACCTCGAGGCTGACCCCAGGGTAGTCCTGCCCACCCCTCCACTCCCCATCACCAGGATAGCCCCGCCCGCCCGC